TTGTGGCGGGCGCCTGTAGTCCCAGCTACTGGGAGGCTGAGGCAAGAGAATAAGCCCAAGAGTTTGAGGTTGCTGTGAGGACGCCACGGCACTCTACCTAAGGCAAAAGCTTGAGACTCCGTCTCAAAAAAAAAAAAAAAGAATATCTGTGGAGTTGGCAGGAGATGCTTATGACATTAGACAGAGACTAATGGGATTGGGGCCTATCTGCTGGGCTGGCCTTACCCAGGTTCCTCCTGGACTACAGGCAACAGTGGCTTGACTACAGCTGGAGTGGAGGTGTTGTAACCCAGCCCTCTTTCCCCTGCCCACTCCTGTTATCCTATCTCCCCTCTCTAGCCCATTTCCCTCCTCCTCCCTCCTCCTCCCTCCTCCTCCCTCCTCCCCCCAGAGTCCACTCCTGGAACAAGGCAAGTCCCTCTTCCCCACAGGGTGGCCAAGAACGGTGCTTCCCAGCCACGTTCCCAAGCCCCCTTCTTCCCCCTAGGGTTGCCAAGAACAAGCTTCAGGTACAAGGAAGAAAAGTCCCAAGTTTCACAAAACCCCCAAGTCCTCAGTAGATGAACAATGGTGGAAAACTCACCAAGACTTGATTAATTACTGTTGTATAACCATAACCATTGTAATGAGATGTATCCATTGTCAACCAAAGCTGTTATTGTTCCATTGCTGTAGCCATGACTACCCAAGTTGTAACCCCCCCTTAAGCAGCCACGTTTTGCTTCTGTAATATGCTTGCCCAAAGCCTATAAAAGGTAACTCACCCTCACACCTGGGCTGCTGACTGTCTCTCAGAGCAGCAGCCCCTGCAACAAGTAAAATAAATTACCAATTAATTAACCTAAGTGGGGGTCTGACTCTATTTTTCCAGGTCTCCTAAGTTATTTCAGAGTGTCTAAGATGGCCTTAGTGCTGTGTCTAGAAGCCGATACTGGCTCTGGACTGGGGCCTCAGATCTGCTGTACTTGTCATTAGATCTTAGCTGGATGTCTCTTTAGCTTAGTAGTCTCAGGGTTCTAAGAAGGCAAAGGTACAACCTGCAAGGTCTCTTGACACCTGGCCTTAGAAGCGAGGCAACAGGCTCAGCGCCTGTGGCTCAAGCAGCTAAGGCACCAGCCACATACACCTGAGCAGGCAGGTTTGAATCCAGCCTGGGTCTGCCAAATGACAATGATGACTGTAATCAAAAAATAGCCAGGCGTTGTGGTGGGCGCCTGTAGTCTCAGCTACTTGGGAGGCAGAGGCAGGAGACTCGCTTGAGCCCAGGAATTGGAGGTTGCTGTGAGCTGTGATACTACAGCACTCTATCCAGGGCGACAGCTTGAAGCTCTGTCTCACAAAAAAAAAAAAAAAAAAAAAGCGAAGCAACATCCCTTCCACCATATTCTGTTGGTCACAAAAAGTCATAAGGTCAGCCCAGAAGAGGGGAAATGAATTCTATCTCTTGAGGAGTTGCAAAAATTATATGGCTATATTTAATCTATTCCAGGCCTGAAGGCCCCAGTTAGTGACCTGAGCAGGTCATTCTGTCTCCACATCTGACATGTCACTGCTCTCCCCCCAACCCCCTTAAACCATCATCATAAAGAGTAGACTACTCTATGGGTATCAGTCAGCTGGATTAGGGATGGTGGTTGAGTGCATTTTTGAAGATGGCCACTAATCCATCTCTCATCCTGCATGCTGTTCTTACATGTGAATGTGACTTGACAAGCCTGCATAGAGAGGTGAAATCTTGTGTTCCCTCCCCATCAAACTAGGTGGATCCTCCTAATAGCCTTGACCAATGCAATGGGCAGAAGAAATGCTGTCTGGCTAGATCGTAAACGGCAATATAGCATCTTTGGTACACTTGTCCTTGGAACTTAGCCACCATGTTATGAGGCAGCCCAGGCCATGTGGAGTGTTCTATTTGATAGCCCTCATTGGGCCATCAGCCATCAGCCAGCATTAATTGCCAAACATGTGAGTGAATAACCCTTCAGATGAGTCCAGCCCCTACTTTTGAGTCTTTGAGCAGAGGCCTGAGACGTCACAATGATAAACCATTATCATTGTGTCCTGTCTCAATTCTTGATCCACAGAAGTCAGGAGAAGAACATAAAGATCATTGCTGTTTTAAGCCACCAAGGTCGGGATAAATTGTTATGCAGCAATAGATAAATAATAAAGGTTGCTGGTAATAGAGAAGAAAAAAAGTGGCTTAAACAAACTAAAAGTTTCTTTCTTTTCTCATTGAAAGCTGGAGTAGGCAACCCAGAGATGACACAGAAGCTCATGTGGTGTCATCAGGAACCCAGGATCTTACCTTGTTGCTCCTCTATTTCTCAGCACATGGTTATAATTTTCAAGGTCACTTTCTGTTCCAAAACAGCTGCCAGAGTTCCAGCTATCACGTGTGCATTCCAGGCTGAATTCAGGATGAAACAGAGGACAAGATTGGTTTTCACCAATATTGTTTCTATTTCATGGAGCATTGTTGGCGATCCCTTCCAATACCTTCTGTTTATATTTCATATCCCAGCATTAAGAAATGTAGTCACACCATATATGTAGGGAGGCTGCAAATGTTGCTTTTTAGGTTGGACTCATTGCCATCTGCTGTAAGACTGATTCTGTTATTGAGGAGGGAGGAAAATGGTAGCCAATGTGCAGTTGGTGGCTATGGTGTTAGGGCAGAAAGGTAGAAGAGGAAGCCTTCCTTATGGGGAGGAGCTATGGGGAGGAGCACACTGGCCTGGGGCCATCTTGAATGTCTGTGCACCATAGGATTTTCCACCTAAGTTGTTTCAGAACAAAGAATTAACTTCACTCCCAAAGAAGTGAAGCAGTGGCAGGTACACAGAGAGAATTCTGATCTCTAACTCCATTTCCCTTGTGTGGTCAGTGTGCAGGTGGACATTGCTAAATGGCCTACAATGCAACCTTGACCTTATCACTCCCCTGCTCAGCCATTTTCCATGGCTCTAGTTTGCCCCAGTTAGAGGACAGATTGTGGGGTTTGGTATGAATGGCCTCAGCCAGCTCTTTCATGGCTGTTTGCTTCTACCTGCTCCTCATGCCTTGCTCCACACCCTATAACTGGCTCTTTGTTTAGGCAGCACCTGCTGCCTGGAACACCCCCTGCCCTGGTTTTGCTTGGGGTAGTCCCAAATGTTCTCAGCAACCTTCAAGGGCCACCACTGGCCCTTATAGTGCCTTTGTGTGGATTAGGAAAGGGTGTCCTTTGTTTACGTGGGTGCTACTCAAGAATTGGGGAGTGGCCTGTGGGCTGCATTCCACCCACATTTGCCTGTGGGCTTGATGCCCTTGCACAGTGAACACCACATATAACCATGCATGTGGAGATGCCACTTCTAGCAGACTTTCTGAGCTCCATTAGTGAATGAGGCCCTTCCTTTGCCCCTGTTCTTCTTTCCTCAGATCCTATAGCAGCCTGTCCTGATTTGGGGCTGGCTATTCCGTTTTTTGTGCCCTCCTACTTGCTCAGTGCCCAGTGCTGCAGACTGGTGTCAGTAGCCACCAAATGAAGAGAATTTGAGTCACAGGCCACAGTTCTTTTGCCCCACTTTGGGCACCAGCCACTACTCCCTTGGTCCTTCACATGATCAGAAGCAGGCTGAAATCCCCCACTGAGCTGGAAGGGAGACCACATTGGATGATGCCTTAGAAGTGATCCAGGCTGCTCAGAGGGACTCAAGCCCGAGGCTCAGAGGCCCCAGATGGGGCAGGGAGGTCCCCTCTGCTCAGCTAACCTGTTCTTGAGAATGATAGGGTCCAATTCTAGGACCTCCCAGGACTCATTGTGCCTCTGAGCCAGGGTGGCCTGTTGGGCCGGTAGTGGTGGCCTGGAGACCCAGCACTCAGGAATGCACAGAGCAGGCCTTCCTTTCACACCTTTATTTAATCTGTATCTTTTCCCTGCCTCCTCCCTCCCACCTCCTTACATAGGCCCCTGAGAAGGGTGGAAGCCCCAGGTGGAAGGGAGGTGCTATTCTCCCCTCCATGGGGGAGTGACAATGTCCTCTGGGCAGGGGCCTCCATGTTGGAGCAAGGGCATTGTCCGAGAGGCTGTGGTGAGGCCAAGCCCTTGGATGCCCTGCAGCCCTGGCTCCCGACAACCATCTGGAAGGTGAAGAGCAGAGAAGTCTGTGCAGTGATGAAGGAATACGCCCAGGGTATGTGCATGGCTGACAGAAGCAGACACGGACTTTGGGAGGCAGGAGCAGAGACCAACGGATGTGGAGGCTATGATGGGGCCTTGAGAAGGAATCTCAGGTGGTAGTAGACACAGGGGTGCAGTAAGCACCAGGGAGTTACTGGGGGGCAGGAGGTGGGACTAGGCTTCCAGTGCAGGGCCACCAGCAATACCCAATCAGGTGCTGGCCCTGAGCAAGAGAAGGGGTGGGTGGGTGGGGAGCATTTATCTGGGGAGGCAGATGGGAACTGTGGGTGGTAGGGGGGCCAAGGTCATGATGCTGCCATAGCCAGCTTTTAGCTTCAGGAAGGCCAGCCCAGTTGAGCAAGGCCCCAAACCACCAATTTGTGCTTCTGGGTTGCTCAAGGACTCCCAGTGTGGCCTTAGCCCTGGCAGGGAAGAGCCCACAAGCAGACCTCTGCTGTAGGCAACAGTTGTCTCCAGGACTCCTTCTCCATCCTAGCCTTTCTGGAAACTTCCTCCCCTGCCCTGTGTGAGAGGCCCCCAGGCCAGATCACCTGCCATCATGGGGTGGAGGATGGGGAGGTGGGGGAGTGGAATGTGATGGTGGGGCAGGGGAAGCCATATTGGGGACAGTTCAGAGATTCAACTTGGGTGGTGTCCATTTTTCCCCCAAATGACCACAGATCACTGCATTCTAGTCTGTTTAAGGACCTTCCCCCATCCCCACTCCCACCCTGGTGTGTGGCTGGTCTATTTTCTCTCCTGTTTTGGACAAATCCTTAGGCATCTGAGCCTGTGGTGGGATGAGGAGGAGGCTACCCTGGGGGCTGCAGGATTCTCAGAGCACACCCTGCCCATCCCCCTGGCAGCCGCTGTCCCCGTGGACGATGAGCACCGGGAAGTAAAGGGCATCCTCATAGCAGGGTGGGCTCTCTAGGGGCTCCGTGTCCTCCCCACGGCGCCCCAGCGGCCCCCCACTTAGGCTGCGAAAGACCCCTGGTGTGGCCCTGCCACCAGCTCCCAGCGAGAGGCGGCTGCGGCTGAAGGGCAGGCGGGGCCCACTGGGCCGGGCAGGCGGCAGCGAGTTGCTGCTGATGGAGCGGCGGCAGCGCTGGCAGCCACGTAGGTAGGCTCCAGAGCTGGCGCCCATGACCACAGCCTCCGAGTAGCTGGGCACCAGCTGCCGGTTGGAGCAGATGTGCCACTCGAGCTCGGTAAAGTCCACTGTGGCCACACGGGAGAGAGGGGGCCCACTGGGCACAGCCCCTGGAGGCGGCGAGCTGGCGCCGAAAAGCTTCTCCACCTGGTAGTGCACATGGGCTGTGCCGTAGGCTGCCACAACACGCAAGGGCCAGGAAAGCGTGGCCGCTGACACGAGCCAGAAGACCCAGGCCCGGGCATACCAGGGTGGGCTGTGCGGATCAGCAAAGACCATGAGCGACTCCCGGAAGTCCACATCCTTCAGGTGCAGGCCCTCGCGGGCCTCCAAGTAGTCGTCCAGGCCCTCGTTGGCGCTGAAGAAGCGGGCCCTCTGGGTGAGGTATGAGGCCTCGGCCTCGGCGCTGCCAAAGCTGAAGCACTTGGTGAAGCGCAGCCTCGTGGCTGCATGCTCAGCCAGGCCCACGAGCTCCTTGGAGACATCGCGGACGCCATGTGCCGAGTAGTCAAATTCACCACGAGCTGTGCGACTGTCAGCCCTCTCGTGGTAGACCTGTGTAGTGGTGTAGGCATCACCATTGCGGTAACGGGTGATCTGGCGTGTGCGCCGCACATAGTGATAGCTGGTGGCCTTCCACCAGACGCAGGGCGGGGCCTGCTGCAGCCGGTGGATCAGGGCGAGCACGGTGTTGGCATCAGTGCGTGGTGCTTGGCAGGACCGCACATGACAGTGCCAGCACTCAGCCAGGTAGAGGAGGTAGAGGAGGGAAACAAAGGCCAGTGGGATGTACAGGTAGCCATCCGAGCAGGGGCTGGCAGGGTAAGTGGGTGGCTGGCCTCCAGCCCCACGGGCCAAGGCTGCCTCAGGCCCCAGGACCAGCCGAGGCACAGTGGCCAGGCGACACCAGGCCACCACAGCCCCGCAGGCATGGATGAGCAGTGTGAGGAGCAGGCACTTCCAGTGCGACTCATGGCACAGGGAGCTTCCCAGGGACTGTTTCAAGGGCCGCTGCTGCAGGTGGGCAGAGAGAGGGGAGGCATGTGTCAGCACAGGGCCATCAGTTGTGCCTGCCACTAGGCTTAACCCCAGAGAAGAAGGTGATGCCAAGGTGACCCCCACTTTACAGAGAAAACTGAGGTTCCAAGGGATTGCACCACTTACCCAGGCCATGTGTGTCTGGCTAAGTCACAATGGCACTGCATGATTCAAACCCAGGCCTCTCTGCCCTGAGCATGTCCTCCAATGTGTTCTGCCAGCTCTCAGCCAAGGACACAATAGACTCACCTCTGCCAGGAAGGGAAAGGACCCTCCCCATTCCCCACTGGCTTTTGAGAAAATAGTTCTGGCCCAGCTCTGCCCTGATTTGCTATGTGGACTTGGCCACATCCCTACCCTCCCTGAGCCTTGATTCTGGGTCCTGGTGGTTTGGGAGGCCAGGATGGCAGGGGTCTGAGAGGCAAACAGCACAGGCTTTAGAGCCCACCTGCCCAGGAACTGGTGCTGGCTACATGTGACTTGGGAAGATCCCTCATCCTCTCTGGACCTCAATTTCCTCATCTGCAAACTGGAGGTCTTGTGAGGACTCAACAAGATAATGTGGGAGGATCTCAGCACAGGGTCTGGCTGTGGGCATAAATATTACTACTGTTACCCTGTAACTCCCTCTGGTCTCTTGTTCCAATAGGGAGGGAAAGGAGACTTTCTGGAGAGACTTTTTTTTCCTCCCCCCACCCCCCGAGAGACTTTTAAGTAAGTGAGACACAGGGAGGACGAGGAACCGGGGCACTGTGAGTCCTGGGGTGGGGAGCAGATGAAGGGCCATCCTCCACACCTCATCTGTGCTGAGGAAGTGGTCGGGATACAACTGCTGAACAGCAGGGGCCACTCCCTGTCCCAAAGGTTTTGGCACACCCTCCCTGGCAGGGCTGCCAGCCTGGCCTCCTCACCCCAAAGGAGCACATCCCACCCTGACCTGCAGTCCAGTCAGATGCACACTCTCACTTGCCGGCACCCCACATATGTTCACCACCACCCACCATGGACATCCACACTGCCTGCTCACCCAGGGAACAGCAGGCCTCACCTGTTCTCAGAATACAAACCCAACAACCATAGAACTGTAGACAAGGATAGACACACGCAGACACACACTCATCCACCAGGACACACATATGTACATACACGTCACACAGTCACTGAAGCCCAGAGACACAGCAGAGCTTCACCTGGATACAGAACACAGCTCCTCACCTCACCCCTAGTGGAATCTGAAGCCCCATCACTAGAATCCACGCCCAAGAGACCTACCAAGGCAGGTCACACTCACATGCACACACACCACTGAGTGAAGACCCAAGCCAGGGCACCCAGCAGACCCTCACTGGACTACAGGGCACAAAGGTCCCACCCAGGTGTGGGGAACACACACCCAAGCAGCCCACCTTCACCCAAACTCTCTCAGGGACCTCCAGGTCCATGCCCTGTCACCCCACACACCACACGGGGGAAGATAGCCCTGCAGATCGTCCTGGTTAGGGCTGAGGGGGGGTTCAGCAGCAGAGTAGGCTCTCACCCTTCACCTGGGAGGAGAAGGGGTAGCAGAGGCCACCTCCCTTCCTTCTGCCCCTCCTCCTCCCAGTCCCTGCCAGGGCTGCTGCATTGCAGGCACCGCCCGACACCTCGTGAGCGGCTGTGCGGGGCTGGGGGCCCGACCCCTGGGCCCCAGGGGTGGGTGGGTCAGCATCCCCGCAGCGCTGCGGAATGGGGACGACTGGGGGCCAGGCACTGACGTCATAGGGCGTGTGAAGCTGGAAGAGGGGACGCCGGGGGCGGAAGTCGCCCCCTACATTCCTGCCCCACCGCCCCACCACTGTCCTCACGCGAGCCCCTGGGCCCCGGGACCTTTGGCGGGACGCAGCCACCACGATGACGTCATTGGTCTCAGGGGCTCCCAGACGTCCCTCTTCGGCCCCTTTCCCGGGGGTCGCTCCTCCCTCGTCCCATTCACACCGCCCACGCTTGGGTCCAGCCCCCGCCACTCCGCGCCAGTACCTCCTCCCGCAGCTCGCCGTCCGGGATGAGCGTGGGCACCTCTCCGCCGTCGCCACCGCCGCCCTCGGGCATGGTGTCCTGGCTGCTGGGGCGGCCCGGGCCCGGGCCCGGGGCATGATAAGGGGATAAGCGCGCAGGGTTGCGGCGCCGCCCCAGGGGCGTCCGCTCGGCTCAGCGGCCGCGGAGGGAGTGCGCGGAGCTGGAGCCCAAGCGCGGCGGCGGCAGCGGCGTTGGCGGCGTTGCCGCCCGCGGTGCCCGGCGCCCCGCCCCCCTCTGACCCCGCCCCCGCAGCACCGGCGGCGCCGCCGGCAGCGCCTGGCACCGCGGGCGCGTCCCCACCACCAGAAGAGAAACCCCGACTGGGTGGCCGGACTCCGGGTTCTCTGGCTGCGTTTCGACTTGGGCTGGCCTCGCTCTCTGGCGGCCGAGTTACCCGCTCTGTAAAGCTCAGAGCATGAATCTGCAAGGTGGTGGGCTCCCGCGGAGGTCCCACATGTAAGGAGCAGGCCCAGAACTAATCCCACCCAGACGTCACCCTTAAGGCCTCGCTAGCTGGGGAAGTTACAGCCATGAAAGGCCTCATGAATCTCACTGGCTGGGCAGAGAGGTGCTGGGCTCCGCTTAAGGCAGGCAGGCAGGAGACCCTAGGCTGTGTGACCTTGGGCCAGTGTGTTCCACTCCCAACCTGTTTCCCATCTGAGAAATGAGATTCACTTCACAAGCATTCCTCATGCCCTAGGGAGTGGGATCTGTCTTACATGGAATGACCTCTCCCAGGTACACAGGGCCCATTTGCTCCTGGGCCCTCAGGACACTCAGATCTTCATAAGTGGGCCTGAGTCTGGGCCTTGCCCTCAAGCTAGACTATCAATCACTGGATGAGACATAAGGAGCTGCACTGGATGTGCTAATTTGGGGTGTGTGTGAGTAGGGCAAAGGGCAATCTAAGACCATTCAGTTGAACACACTCATTTGAACAAGAACTCAGTAGCCAGGCGTTGTGCTGGGTGCCTGTAGGCTCAGCTACTTGGGAGGCTGAAGCAAGAGAACTGATTAAGCTCAAGGATTTGAGGTTGCCATGAGCTGTGACGCTAGAGCACTCTATGGAGGGCCACACAGTGAGACTCTGTCTAAAAAACAAAACAAAACAAAGAAGTAACTGAGATGCAGAGAAAGGAATGGACTGGTCCAAACTTTCGACTGTTTATTTTATTTTTTTGAAACAGAGCCTCAAGCTGTGGCCCTGGGTAGAATGCTGTGGCATCGCAGTTCACAGCAACCTTCAATTCCTGGGCTTAAACGATTCTCCTGCCTCTGCCTCCCAAGTAGCTGGGACTACAGGCGCCCACCACAACCCCCAGCTATTTTTTGGTTGCAGCCCTCATTGTTGTTTGGTGGCCCAGGCTGGATTTGAACCTGCCGCCAGCTCAGGTATATGTGACTGGCGCCTTAGTGGCTTAAACCACAAGTGCTGAGCCTCATCTGTTTATTTATTATTTATTGGACATGGATGTTTATTGGGTGTCTTCCATATGCAAGTACTGTGCTTGACACTGGGAAGACAAGGGTAGAAGCAGAGAATGACACAAGCCCTTTCTTCATAGAACTTACATCTATGGCAAACTGGGATAGAACCCAGCTTGTGGCCCCCACACCTGGCAAAGTCAGGCCTCTGTTCCTTTTGTCTTTTTGAGAGGCAAAGCTAAACCAAAAAAAATTTTTTTTTTTTGAGACAGAGCCTCAAGCTGTCCCCCTGGGTAGAGTGCCGTGGCATTACAGCTCACAGCAACCTCCAACTCCTG